CACGGACTATTTTTAGCATTCTATCTTCCAAGATAATATAATTTGAGCATATTCTTACTAAAAATAACATTATGATACGTATAAATACACCCTATTTTCATGTAAGTTTACAGATATGTAAATAATAAGTTTATATGTCCTATTTCTTTTTTAAATTTATTTTTATACTACGTAGGTAGCAAACAAGCAAATAGCCATCTGCATCCTATGGAGGCCTGAATCACCAGGGGTGTCACGTTCGCGTTGCCGGGCTCTTAAGAAACCTTAATATAACTTTTATTTTAAAATAAACAAATACATTTTAAATAAGGATTTAAGAACCAACAATAGAGGACCAACACAATTATTTAATTTAGCAGATGTTCGTAGGTCTTTTTTGTCACGTTATCTTTCTTTTTTCCTCATTTCCATTCTGGTCAAGTGCTCAAAGCATTGTAAAGAGGAGAGTTACTATTCTTTAAGCGACTTTTTACGCATAATAGATGTTATAATTTTAAAATATTCTTAATTCAACTTGCTTGCAAAGGTGCTTAGTGACAGAGATAAGAAAAAAAGAGGCAAGGCAGTTGATCTAGGCAGTTTTTTTTAAAGTCCTCTTATAAGCATACGACGTATCAGTAGCAAAGCAAAGCGTGCGTTTGTCAGATTTTTTTAGTTGTCATAGTTATTTTGTTTAAATCATCAACAATTATTTGTCATCAAAGATAAATAGATATAGGCTTATTTTTATAACAAATTCTGATTTATTACAAGCCACACGTTCTTCCTACCGTATTTATATTTTAGATGTATGTGTATGTAATTTGAACCTCGCCACCATTGTTATTAGTCATGCGGGCACGACCAATCGATGAATTAATAATGATGTGTAAGGTTACCATTAACGTGTCAAATATAGTGAAAATAGAAATTACCTACTTTTATATAAAGTGATTTTATTTAATTTGTGTATACTTCGACAGGGGTAGGAATGTGGCAAATTATAAAAGAATGCTTTAAAGTTGGTAAATAAAAATATTATAGTAGCATCTACTGAATTAGAAGGTAATAATGGAGGTTTTAAAAAATATACATATAATATCTAATATACACATAAATAAAATTTGACAATATAATAAATAAACATATATATGTATTTATTTCTTGATTTAAACTATTTTATAATTCTGTGAATAAAGCTTGAATGCATTGAGATATTCGAGGAGTATAAATAAATAATATAGTATTTCGTAATACATTTCTATAAGTAGGCACACACAATCCATAAACATAATTAATATATTGTACCATTTTGTTCCTAATTATATTACCTATAATGATGTTGAGAGAAGAACGAAACAAAGAATTAATAACCTATTCATTTCTGGAAGGTATGCATATTTTTCATAAAGTGTAAATGTACATCTTCTGACAACGAGTTCCAGAACCGGACCACCAGACCAGAACCTACATGAGTACCTTATGTTTCCGATACTAATAATAGCTAGTTTCTTTTATAGTATATAAAACAAACAAATAGAAAAATAACTATATGATCTGACTGAACCTATGCGGTTTACAATTACGAATTCAAATCTATTCAGTTAGTAAATAAAATAGGACTGGCTGGTTTCTTGCATAACAAACCAGCAATTGCAAGCCGGCGAGGAAGTGCAGGCAGCGTTTTTGGCACTATTCCCATGAATCAAGACCTCTTTGCTTTTTGAAGCATGGAGCTAAGTTTATATAATGGATTTGTTTTTTCCTCTTTGTGCAGATTGAAATTATTTAATGAAATAATAGTAGTAATGAAATTCTTCAATTTAATTATTTTAAATATTTGTCTAAACTTAATAATTGAATCATTTCAAACTTCATCATAGTTGCAAGGGAAATTCTCGGTTTTGTTAGGTTTAGGTCGAATACAAATTTCAAGTTCGAGTTGAATGTTTCGTGTTAGCGAATTCTATCATTATATTTTATTCTATTATAATTGTTTAAAGTAGGCTCTGCTCCAGTTTCTATTCTGAAGAGATCTTTGATGAGTTCCTTAGAATTACTTAACTGTTGAGTCGAAATTGTCAGTGTAAAAATGTTCTCTTCTTCTAAGAATTTAGAACAAAACTTTTTCTGTAATTGACATTCCGGCAGACAAGCTGATGGCTCACCTGATGGTAAGTGATAAATGTCCTATATAATTGAACCGTACCACTGACATCTAGTTATCAGGTTACGCTTGTTACCATTCATGCGTTGCCAAATTTCCTTTGGACTAACATGTTATGTCTCCATATTCCATAATTTCATTGCTAAGTTGCTGCTGAAGAATATATATCCTTACAAAATTTACTATTCAGTATACTTTCCCTCCACGTCTCACCTGTTTATTTCTCCTTATGCATACAAGTGAATAACGTTAATTGCTAAGATCCTTACTGAACCATAAAAATTAAACTAGTAAACAATTTGAATCAATTATGATTTTTATAAGAAAAAAGGACGTGCCAAGAAACTTTATTATTTACATTTGTCTGCTTTAACATGAATGGTTATCTCCATAACTCATTAAATTGTTTGAATTAAAGGAAAACCTATTTTTTTCAGAGCACTGCTTTTTTAAATTTACATACTTGACATAACAATTTTGAAAAACGATCAATAATATTTATAAAATATACCTACCTACTGTTTAATATAGGCAGATGTTGAAAAGATCAAGTTTTGACTACGAAACACAAATGCCCAGAGAAAAACTTTGGATACAACAAAAATAAAGTAGAGAATAGAGTGGGTGTTACAAGAGTAATAAAATACATTTTTATAAGATGAACTTGCTGACCTATATATCCAAAGTACTACATACCTACTCTAAATTTGATTATATACATGCATGTTATTCTTTGCGTGACAAACTAAATAGTGAAAACGAATTATATGGCAGGGTTAGTTTATGCTGAAACTCAATCGGTCACTGTCGGGGTGGATCCATCAGTTTATTGACTTGGGCGAGCCTCAACAGTCAATATGGGCCTAACAATTTAATGCATTCCCTTGCTATTTCACGCAACTAGTTACACATGAAAACCTTCAAGTTGTACTTAAGTTATCCTTCTTATTATTTGTAATAGAAAACTCTGTATAAAGTCGCCAGCATACCTCGTGTCTATTCATTGTGTTTGTTTTTAAAGAGTAAAGTCATAGTGAAATTTCTTAGTACTAAATCAGACTAGAGCATATTAGAGATCGGAATAGCAACTAATTATTTAAAAGAACAACACAAAATTTTTTCCTCATTCTTATTGTGATGGCTGCTTTTCGAATGAGCGGTAGAATATAAAAAATATTATGTTCTTATTCATAAATGCTTACATTCAGTTTATTTGAATAAAAAAAAGAATTATTTAATTCAATTATTAAATAAAGAAAAGATTATCTTTTTATTTATATTCAATGTTTTCTTCAATTTATTTCTCTCAGTGAGGGTTCACAAGCTGGATCAAGAAAGAGTAGGTAGGCTCTTAACTTCATCTGCCTGTTGAGAGTTTTTACGCGACGTCCCCCGGGGTCTGGTTGTCACTTAGGTTTTTATTGTTTCATGCTAACTTGGTAGACTATTTAATAAAACATTGTACCTATTCTAGTTTAATAACATAATTTTCTATGTAAATTATAAATAATAAGGCCAAAAGTCACGTAATGTAATTGTTAAATCGAATGCTGCAGGTACGGTAAGCGGTTTATAATTTTCATTTTATTGAGTGCAATATACAAAACAAAGTAATGTAATGACGTAGAGTTCCGTAATGACTTCCTAACGATATACAGGAGCTTTTTTTGTAACCTTTTACTTGATTGACTGCCTATTTTTGATTAATATACCTATAGTCCTTCGTGACACACAGTAATTTGAATTTTATATCAGTTGTATTTAAAAACTAAATAACACAAACTGATTTATTTTAAATGTCTATAAAAATATATCTTTTGTAGAGTTTTCCGAGTACCTAAGTACTTTTTTTTTACATCAGTTAAAAGCTACTATAATTGACCTTTCTTAGCTTTTGTAATAGTTTTTTTATTAGGCAGTACTTAATTATCTTCTATTTATTCCTTAACCGCAGTCAGTAATAAATTTAATTATCCACAACAAAAGCAAATATTCAGGACCGGCCAGGCAAGGTAAGGCCAGAAATAACCTATCAATAACACACTATCCTATTTTTTTTTAAACTTAAAATTCTTATAGTGCCCTGCAATTTAATATGTATTCGAATATAATAAAAAACGGACAAATTCCGGACTTGACTAGAGAAATCCAGATGGATGGTAACCCTAAGCGAGGATAATAAGGCTCACTTGACCAAGCCACCGAGCCGAACGATTTAATGGAAAGCTGTTGAATTAAATAAATAGTGATTGTTTAATCGATGTGACTCTTCTAAGTCAAAGGTACTGTGGTAGTATTCTAGTAAAGGGTTTCAAAAATTAATATCTACATTGAACCTATAAATACTTACCGGTTAGATGTTTGTCTAACCAGATCAGCGTAACTTTTTATTTTTCTACTATTTCAATCTTTACCGAATGCATTAAATGAGAGCTTCTTCTTCTAATTCTTTTATCAAACGCATATATACAACGAACGGTAAGGAAACCTTGACTAAGTTTTTGTCTGAGTTTGACTCAGACAAAAACTTAGTCAAAAAAGACCAACTCATAATTATTTATTCGTGTAGGATCTTTCAGCCTGTTATGCACGTCACATTTTTTATCGTTATCCCGACTGCATGGTATTATCAACACTATATTATTTTTTAACGAACTAATCTAATAAAAAGTTGTTTCGAACTATTTGTTAACGTATCATATTTGGTATTATAACATACCAACAAATACTATGTCATGTATACTTCCATCATGCATTAAAACCCGCTTGATTTCAAATGACAATTAATGAAAGTCTATACAAAGTTAGTCACTCATACACATAGGTGTGTGATAGGTATTAAAATGTTGATTACCGTGTGTAAGTATGTTGATGGTCTCGTTGTGGAAGTAGAAGAGGCTGGCGACACATCCGCCCCAACCCTGCAGCGGACGGTAGCCAGTCAGCACGTACGGATTGAACTGCAAGTGCTGCGGCATGTCGCGCCAGTGCAACAACTCGACGCCGCTGCTACCGCCGCTGCCGCCGCCGACAGACTTCTCCACCACTTCCCCATTCTTTCCTTCGATTACTTCAGATTCACTCGCATTTAAGTTGGAACGTTCCCGCCCCTCATTATCACAGATACGCTCTAACGACTTTTTCCTCTTTTTAGGTCCTTTACCGTTCACTTCTTGAATTGACATATCGAACATATTTGTATATGGATCAGGTACGCTCTGTACGTCTCTCATAATAGTATGCTAGTAATTTCGCGGGACGTAAGAACGGGAGGCTGCGGCGCGGTCCTCTCCGATGGGGGGTTCTTTGCCCGCATGGCCGACAGGCTTCGGTCAGATTTGTACAAATATCACAGCTACAGCATCGACTGGGGCCGCGGTAGGTGCGCTACAGTTCGGCTAGCGAATTTTCTGTTAAGTTCCCAGTGTGGGTGTGTGTGAATACCGCCGCGCGGCCCGCACCAGCGATGCGGTGTCGGAGCGCGGCTGGGCTCGGCTAGGGCGGCGTGCCGCGAGAGCGCGCGACTGGCCGGCTGGCCGGGTGCCGCCGCGCGCCCGGTTGCTTCGCGCACCCTTCGCCGCTACCCCCTCAGATTTGCGCACTGCGCAAACCCGATCAGCTGATTCCCGCCAGAAGGTCGGCCGAACCCCCGCTTACATTCACGCACTTTCACTTCTCGTCAAATTGTATTATTGCCGTAATGAAAGTTTTTGCGTGAATTTTCAACTCGATATGATATTTTTTATACACTTTAACAGTGTGAAATAACATTCGACCTATCTATCTGAGTTGTGAACTCATACTGCCAATACAATACCTACTATTTCGAATTATCAAGTATTATTACATTCAATGATAGATATTAATTTTATCACTGAACATACTTATCACAATCGATAATTATTATTGATGGGATTAGGTTTTATGACATTCTTTAAGTTGTATTATTAATGGAATATACACAAATTGTACACAGCGTAGTGTCTGCTAAATATTTTTCATTCTATAAAAATTCCATAAAACATTGCATAAAGACAAGTTCTGGTAAACAGTCAAAGAAAATGTAGCTGTCGGTTCTGAAATAAACTTGTTATTGTGCTAAAATTGTGGGTCAAGATGAGTAGGTAACACAACTAAAACAGTGATGACTCTTTTCAGACTGCTATAAAGTTCAAACTTCGTAATATTTGTGACAAACAAACAGGGTTATCTTAAAACTAGTATACATCTCAGAATACCTAGAGTCTAGTTCAGTGCTCTCTATTTGTTTGCCTGTAGGCATTTACATAACAGCAAGTAAAATTAATATTTTTTAATATATTCTTTATTGCACTTTAAATATATTGTTTGAGTATTTTTTGTGAAATTATGAATAATTAATAAATTAAGATTACGGAAAATTATATAAGTGAGTACATATTTATTTAAAGTTATATTTACAATATATTATTGTACAAGAAGTGGTCTGCGTGGATATCTCAGTCTCACCTATTTCATTCTTTCATTTAATTCCTGGTGAATTCCCAATGTGGGCTGACTGATCTGACTTCAATTTCATCCTATAGTCCTCTATTTGTGCCAGCTCAGGCACCAGTAAAGGACGATAGACAGTAGTACAGGCTGCTTATGAAGTGGTGCACTCGTTTGCCTAAAAAAGGTAAGTTGACGGAATTACATCATTTATTTATATTGTGCACGATTTACAGTATATTTTAATACATGTTCTCCAAAACAGCATATGGTATACCACGGTCGTCCCGATATGACATCATATTCGTTGTGGTCGTCATGTAAAACCACATTCATATAGGCGAGGTTTTTATGAATATGAATAATGTAATGATGCACTCTCTTGCACTATCGGTTTATTTGGCAGGATCCAGGCACCAGTGGGGGATGATAAAATGAGCATGAAGTCAGGTCAGTTAGTAAATAGCAATTTACTACGATGGTTTCCAGGAGTCAACCTGACATGTGACGCGTGGAGGTCAACCTGACATGATACATTGCTAACAATAAGATCGACAATCCACATTTCTAACAATCCTCTTCCCCCCTATAGGTAGGTTTCCACTTACTATCAGGTGTGATAGCATTAGCTTGTTTGCCATTCCAGTCATAAAAAAAACTTGTGTATTCCTAATAGTAGCCAGATTGCTAGCAATAAAAGAAATAAAGCAATGTACAGTACATAACAATTAAGTCAATATCCACGAGCTCCCTGGAAACCATTATAGTTAATTCTTAGTAAATTCCCCACGATGGCCTAGCTGACCTGATTCATGGTCATTCTACTATCCTCTACTGGTGCTGTACTGGCGTATGTTGTTTATTAATGCAAGCAGTTACACTATTTCACATACATCCACTTTAAAAAATCTTGTTGCGCAACGTAACTATAGACATAAATTGCACATTAGGTATTAACTTATCGTATGTATTTTATTATTTTCTCATATAATATATAACAAAGTCTGAATAGATAGGTAATTTGTGTATTCTTCAACTGTATCTCTGAATCATATAAAAATTGATAAAATCTGTTAAGGTAGCATTCAGAAAAATTTGATAATATAAACTAAACTAAAGCAGAACACGATACTTGTTGAACGCGCCATAACTAGGCGTTCATTTAGTTGGTCATTGTTATAATAGATGGCGCTACAATATACACCAGCATTTCCTGTTTTAATAAACAAATTATAAATGTAATCTAACACATTCAAATATAATTATAATCCATTCAAATATAAAAAAAAACGTAATTATTTAATTGTTACTTAAATTATACTATTTCAGTCTAGTTAATATTAAAGTATTGTTTTGACAGGGAAAGAAACTTGGTTCGACAATTTACGCCATCGCAAATCGCAATTCAACCAACCAACCAACGAGCTGTTTGGTATTTGGATCGATGTTTGGGCCTTTATTGCGAAGAACTATTCTTCAAGGTTCTGCGTCACGAACTTGGAATTATTTTACAAATTTTACTCAAGTCCTTTGGTGTAAACTGAAATATTTACGTGAATTGAGGGTAAGTTAGAAATAGTTTTATTTAGAGAAAATTGGTGCAAAGTAGGGCTCCGATAAGCCGTAGAAATCAACATGGCGTCAGCATGTATATTGTAAATAACTTGACATTAGAGTTTATTAGCAGTTTGGGTTTAAAATGTATTATTTGTTTCACAAGTAACTTTTATTCCATATAGAACGAAAATACAGTAGTTTATAATTAGACGCATTAAATCTTTTTAACTATGCCTTAACAAATTAAATACACATATTAATACGTGTAAATGGTACACAGCAGCTGTCTTGCATTTATTTTGTTTGACATAGACAGTAATTTTACTTATTTGTGAATTACGTAGTAAGAAAATAATTACCTGTTCACATAACTCAGTCAGATTTCTTATGATTTACTTGTAAAGGAGACAAATCATGCTTTCTATGCAAATCACCATTGCCTTAGAGTTGTGATCATATTACATTTAAAGTAGCATAGGCACAGCTAGATATAATCACAGTGAACAACACATTTAATTTACAAAATAAGGCATTAGTATTATTTTGCGAGATACGGTATTAAATATGTTGTTTTCTACTATTTTTCAGTTACTAAATCTTATTTGCTTTTTACAAATTGGAAATAAGAATTTAAATATAAAATATAAATTGCAAATTAGGAACATTACACTTTAAATTGTGAAATATCTTCTATTAGAAATCCAAATGCTAGTTGTTCATCAAATTTAAATTCATTTTAAAATGGTGACATGACAAGATGTGTATGTACACTAATTGTACTGGTATTATATAGTTTTATAAAGAAGGAAACCTTGTAAGAGAGGTTATATAGAATGAACTTGGATTTAAAGTGATTTGGAGTCGATTAGTATACAATATATTTGTATATAATAAAATACAAATTAGGGTGTGGTGTTCATCGCAGAGTAAGAGATGTTTATAAGAATCTCATATCGCTTCTATAAAATCACTATGAACTTATATTCTACATCCCAAATTTATTGTCCTGTCATGTATATTAGAATTTCAATGCCAGTATCATATATTTTTTCTGCACATTTAGATTTATAGCACAGATTAATTTCTGATTTTGATTAACAGACTCATATAGGCAGAAAAAGCAATGTTTTTAAGCTACATAGGTTTATTATAATTCAGTGTAAATTCAAATTAATGAAAACTTCAAATAGTTTCGAACATAGCCATATACACTCACTTTTGCAACTCAAATTATAGAATGTAGACTTTGATACACGATACATTATTTATAAAAATGCTGCCTCTTTATAACAATACTATGAACTGTAATTTATTTTTAAATAATTAAGCACAATTACAAATAGTAGTATTTTTTAACAAATTTAACATATAAATGTCATTGTTGGTTTTTCTGTAGAGGGAATGATTAAAGCTGTGTGGTAGAATAATAATTAAAATGGGAAGATCTTTAATAATTATTTTAAAAATCCCATCCAGTAATAATTGCAAATATTATATACTAGTACATCTTACCTTCTTCAGTAATATTGATAGCTAAATTGGTATATGGTTTATTTGTATATATTTATTTATGCTGGTATATCTATATTGTCTATTTAATAGAAAAGAACAATAATGATAAGTGTAAATAAGAACACTTTTTCTCTCCTATGAACTGTCATTGTAAAAAACAATAGATTTAGTCTATTGAATGGATTATATATCATGCTAAAATTGAAGAATGACACTTCTTTCCTAATGCTAATAAAGCATCCTCATAGGTTACAATATTTATTCAATTTGCATGTTTGACCACATATTGAGAGACTGCCAATGGTCTAAAAAGTTTATGTTTTTCAGCTTATACTGCTTGGATACGAGTTTTGGTATCCTTGTTATGGTAAGTGGAAGTACCTGAAGTACTTTCCTAAACATGTGAATCTGCCAATAATCATTCTGTTACCTTTCTTTTGACACCTTTGAATATTGAATTCTGTAGTATACCTAAATTTATGGTGTTTAAAAATTACATATTGCGAGTCTATTGTGTTGTAAAAATTTTGGATAATAAATTTAATTTATTACTTTGCTGCATCCTACACATTTTTTTGTACTAACATAATAATTATGAATAGTGCATAATATGAAGTTCTTTTGCTTTAGTGTTAATGTAAATACAGTGTGTGTTTATTTTATTTAATCATATAATCTTGATGTATTTTTCCTTCTAATTGTCAGCTATATATTTTTAAACACCATTTTGAATTAAAACTTACACAATTCAATGTCTTGGAGCCTTTAAACTTGAGCCTATAAATTCATCAAAGGGTTCATGAGCGAAAAGTCATGATTATTCAAGTCAAAGTCAAAATAATTTGTTTATACAGGTTATTTATGGGCATTTGGTCTTATCTTGAAAAGAACTTGACTATAGAGCAACTTTATAAAAATTAAGGTTATTAAAATTAACTTGATAATATAGCA